GACCTCTGTGCTGACCCTCAGGACCTCTGTGGGCCTCGGGACCTCTGTGCTGACCCTGAGGACCTCTGTGCTGACCCTGAGGACCTCTGTGCTGACCCTCAGGACCGCTCTGCTGACCCTGAGGACGTGTCCTGTGATGTCTGCACTGGGGCAAAGTTGAGAGCGGTCCAGTCCTGTCTGCAGTGTGTGGCCTCCTTCTGTGAGCGCCACATACAGCCTCATTATGATGTTGCAGTGTTTCGCAAACACCAGCTGGTGGCGCCATTGCACACACTCCAGGAAAACATGTGCTCTGAACACCATGAGCAGAAGAAGCTGTTCTGTCGCACTGACCAAGAGATCATCTTCTCCCTCTGCTCCATGGACCAACACAAGGGCCACGAGACCGTGTCCTCAGCCTCAGAGAGGGCCCAGAGGCAGGTCCAGCTGGAGGCCCAGAGGGACCTGCTCCTCCAGGACGTCCAGCACAAAGACAAAGAGCTGAGCTCACTCCAACAGCAGGAGCAGGACATCAGGGACTCTGCCCTCAGAGCACTGCAGCTCAGCAGGGACAGCTTCAGAGACATGATCCTTCTCCTGGAGACAAGAGCCAAAGAAGTGGAGCAGCAGATCCAGTCTGAGGAGGAGAGAGGACTGAGCCGAGTCCGAGAGATCCAAGACCAAGTGAAGCAGGAGCTGAGGGAGCTGAAGAAGATTCTCTGTGACCTGGACACACTGTCCCTCACCAAAGACCACAACAGCTTTCTACAGCTCCACACTGCACTGGCCTCACACTCACAGGGGCCAGTCCCAGTCAGAGTCCACATTGAGGCCAGGAGCCCCTTTGAGGAGAGGACCAGAGCTGTGTCCGAGCTCAGGGAGAGACTGCAGCTCACTGTGGAGGAGGGACGCACCAACATCTGTCGGGCTCAGAGTCGGGATCCTCTTCTAACGACAGAAGCCAAGACCAGAGAGGAGTTATTACAATACTCTACAGACTTCACTCTGGACACAAACACCGCTCACAGGAGTCTGGCTCTGTCTGATGGAAACAGAAGAGCAACACGGATGAGTAAACAGCAGAAGTATCTGGATCATCAGGACAGATTCAGTGGGCCTCAGGTCCTGAGCAGAGAGAGAGTGACGGGCCGCTGTTACTGGGAGGTGGAGTGGAGCTCAGAGAGTAGTGTGATTATTGCAGTTTCATACAAAGATATTCAGAGGAAAGGAGCCTCTGGTCAATGTAGATTTGGAAACAATAATAGATCCTGGGCCTTGTACTGTGGCGAAACCAAATCTTCATTTGTGTTTAACTCAGTCTGGTCCCGACTCTCAGGTCCGGTCGGGTGCAGAATTGGGGTTTTCCTGGACCACAGTGCAGGGCTCTTGTCCTTATATGATGTCTCTGCAAACATGAGGCTGATGCACAAAGTAGAGACCACCTTCTCTCAGCCACTTCACGTTGGATTCGGTTTTTATAATAATGGAGACTCTGCACTTTTCTCTAAACTTAAATAACAGTGAGTTATAGCTGGCCCCGTGAACATGCGTGGGTTTGGATCATAACCTGTATATACTGTAGGTAAAGTGCTCATGGATGAACTTTGGCTCCTTAACTTATAAAAGTAAACTCCAGCTCAGTAAGTGTAAAGTTGTAAAGTTATATATATATACAAATATATGTATATACAGTATATATATACACATGTATATTATCTTTATTGTGATCTTGTCTGATATTGTCTTTGTAAATCCAGATATGAGTCATATGAGGATTGACCAGTTAGATACCTTGATTTGCAGGTGAAAAATATAATAATGATGCCATTCTAAACTGTATAAAGACACTTTACAAATAACATTGGATCCATTGAGTTCCATGTTTGTGCCAGAAGCTCCTGACATTAGAGTGGTTGGATCTAAAGATCAACTTTATTGAAATCACAATGGAGAAATGTACATGTATCATTTGTAGAATCATTTTTACAGGGTGTGCAAATAAAGTGTGAAACTAAAGGTTAAAATAGAGTCTCTATTGTGCAAGACACATTATGTACCATGAAATGTAAAGTGGCTATAGCAGACCATAATAACAGACATAACACAACTGTTTATTATTGCTAACTCCTGATGTCAAGTATGACCCATATAAGAAGTTAAAATTAATGTTTTGGTGTGAGTTCCTTCATCTCTCACGTTATTTCACGTTTCCATATGAACTGATGAGTGTGATCCACTCTGCATCACCTGCACTTCTGCTCTTATACCACTAGAGGACGCCGTCGCTTTCTCTCCTCTCACTCGTATACAGTCAACTTTGCCAGGAAATTGTATATTACTAAGTCAGAAATATCATTATTGTCCATGTTAGTCCCTTGGCAATAAAGTCTACGTCAAGTCCTTAAAGCTGGGGTACCTAATATTTTAAATCATAAACAACCATATACCTTCCATCTACTAATAGAAATACATTATTGAGCCCAAATTTAGAGATTTATTTAAGTGAAGAGGTAAAGCAGCTTTTTCGGACTGTTTTGATGAAGCAGGAGCAGTCAGAGCTCTGTTGGACTGTTGTTGTGAATAGGGAGCAGCATCTGTAGTCCGAGCTCTATGCCCACTCCCTCACATCTGGCATGATCTTTGTAAAGAGCGAAAAGACAAGATACAAGCGGTCCACATGAGCTTCCCCAAGTGTAGCTGGGTTCTCCCTTGGAGATTGAGGGAGAAGCTCAGTCACACGGGAGGAGCTCGGAGTAGAGCCGCTGCTTCTCCACCTAGGGAGGAGCCAGTGTTCTGGAGAGGTCCCACCGGGAGGAGACCAGGGGAAGACCCAGGACACATTAAACGGACCGTGTCTCTCAGCTGGCCTGGGAACGCCTCAGGAGGAAGTGTATGTGCGGAGAGAGAACTCTGGGCGTCTCTGCAAGAGTAGAGTAGAGCCGTGCAGAGTGGAGCAAAGTAGAGTATAGCCGAGAAAAGTAGAGCAGAGTAGAGTAGAGTATAAAGTAAAGCAGAGCAGAGCAAAGTAGAATAGAGAAGAGCCAAGTAGAGCAGAATTGAGAAGAGTAGAGCAGAGAAAAGAAGAGAGAGTAGAGAGCAGAGAAACGTAGAGCAGAGTGGAGTAGAGTACACAGAAAAGTAGAGCAGAGTAGAGTAGAGCACAGAAAAGTAGAGCAGAGTAGAGTATAGAGTAAAGCAGAGCAAAGTAGAGTAGAGTAGAGTAGAGTAGAGTAGAGTAGAGTAAGGTAAGGTATAGAGCAGAGTAGAGTAGAGTAGAGTAGAGTAAGGTATAGAGCAGAGTAGAGTAGAGTAGAGTAGAGTAGAGTAAGGTAAGGTATAGAGCAGAGTAGAGTAGAGTAGAGTAGAGTAAGGTATAGAGCAGAGTAGAGTAGAGTAGAGTAGAGTAGAGTAAGGTATAGAGCAGAGTAGAGTAAGGTATAGAGCAGAGTAGAGTAAAGTAGAGCAGGGCAGAGTAGGGTTGGGCTGGTGGAAACAGGGCTTTATCATTTGTGTCCTCTAATATCTGTGAGACACTCGCTCCCTGCTGCATCAGAGCGTGGTCAGCGCTGGTTGTAGCCGCTGAGTCACTGCTGAAGCCGCGGTGTCAGGTTGAGACTCTGACCCGGTCTGTGATCTGACCTGAGATCAGCCCACGCCTCTCCGCCTTCGCCGCGCGTCTCTCACCTGACGTCACAGTGAACGAGCCACGTCAAATCACCGGTGCTCCAACAGGAAGTGAGAAAGAGTCACTCACAACATTTAAGATTCAAATAGTTTGGTTTATAGCTGTGGGTACCTAACTTTAAAACTACCTAAAAAGAACTGTCTATTACCAGTTTTCACATAATGTATGTTTGGCATCTGGCATGTCTTTCATGACGGAAAAGTAAGTAAGTAATGTTTATCTATTTACCGCATTTTATAGACCAAGGTCACCCAAAGCACTATACAATGTTCAGAAACCAGATATTTTTCCATTCACACATGGTGATGAAGCGCAACGCTGAACACACTCCCCCCATTCAACACATTCATACCTATTTTTCTAGAGGTAGGAAACCGGAGAGCACCCGGAGGAAACCTATACGCAGGCACGAGGAGAACAGGTAAACCCCAGAGAGGCAAATAGTGATTCACAGTTCAAAAGTTAATCAACTGTTTAGACAGAACAAGTAGAACACTTAAATATAGGTCCAGAGGGAGAGACCAATGTCCATGAATGTTGATAAATGTCCATACATGTTGTAGAATGTAAAGTGTGAGTGTCCTGCATCATCACAGTCCTTCTTGTTAGATAACAAACCCTCCTGCATCGGCAAGGAAAAACTCAAAAACCCAGTGGGAGAAAAGTGAGAAACCTCTGGGAGATCCACATTGAGAGAGGGATCCGGTCCACGGACGGACGGGCTGCATATGTGTTGTGTATATCAAATAAATTTGATACCCCAGCTTTATGTTACTCTGTCAAGAGCGTATGTTAGAAGTGAGTCTGACATCAACAACGCCTTAGACTTAACGGCGAAGAAGCCGGTTTGAACATAATCTAGTCAGAGACAATTTTCTTATTTGGGAATTTGTTCTGTGGCCTTAGCTTTGAGCCATAACAGGGATAGACCATGGATCTATTGGTTGCTGAGACGGTTGCTAAGGTAAGCTGAAGTTACCTCCGTGAATGAAGGCCTCTGATTGGTCAATCCATATATCAATCATATCTGGATTTACAAACACAATATCATAATATAAACACCAGATTCCCAGACAGTGCTAAACCACTGCGTTTTAAGCCCAAACTGGTGATTGTGACACAAACAGTTACTAAAGTGTAGGAGTTTACTTTTACAAAACTTTGTCCATGTGCACTTCCCTATTGGGCTTCATTGGGCTAGCAGGTTAGCATTGTCCATCTACATCCCCATTGTATTTGTAGAGTAACAAGTAACCCAGCTCTAGAGTCAAAATTAAATTGAAAATTAAAAAAAGGAATAACACTTGAGATGTTTTATTTTGACAAGCCAAAGCGGATGTGTTGGTACAGTTTCCGTCCGGCTTCACTCTCTCCCAGGTCTCTCACGGCTCTCTATGAATCCACTCCAGTCGAACCAGCCTCCCTCCACCGTGCATGCCTCTCCCTCAGCGGGCCGTCCTCTGAGCTCTGGCCGCTCTCTGGCTGCTCCTCCGCGGGCATGGCTCCTGTCACGTGTCGGGTGCAGTTCCTGGAGGATTCGGACCCTTTCGTCTGCACAAACTTCCCGGAGCCCCGCAGACCTCCCCTGGCGCACATCGAGCTGGAGCAGCCGCTGAGTGAGCAGATCGCTGGGATACACAAGCTCCTGGATGCGCCCCTCAAGGTAAGACCCGGCCCGCCCCTGGAAGCTTCGTGTGGTGAGGGCAGGTGCCACTACAAGTTCATAGGAAAGAAGACATTTATTTGTTTTAATTACTTGTTCATTATTTGACCTGAGAGAAAGACCAGAGGGAGAGAGCGAGAGAGAGAACAGAGTGAGAGAGAGACCAGAGAGAGCGAGAGACCAGAGAGCGAGAGACCAGAGAGCGAGAGACCAGAGAGCGAGAGACCAGAGAGAGAGAGACCAGAGAGAGAGAGAGAGACCAGAGAGAGAGAGACCAGAGAGAGAGAGACCAGAGAGAGAGAGACCAGAGAGAGAGAGACCAGAGAGAGAGAGACCAGAGAGAGAGAGACCAGAGAGGGAGAGATAGAACAAGACCAGAGAGGGAGAGATAGAACAAGACCAGAGAGGATAATGGAGAGACCAGAGAGAGAGAGACCAGAGAGAGAGAGACCAGAGAGAGAGAGACCAGAGAGAGAGAGACCAGAGAGAGAGAGACCAGAGAGAGACCAGAGAGAGAGAGACCAGAGAGAGAGAGACCAGAGAGAGAGAGACCAGAGAGAGACCAGAGAGAGAGAGACCAGAGAGACCAGAGAGAGAGAGAGACCAGAGAGAGAGAGAGACCAGAGAGAGAGAGAGAGAGACCAGAGAGAGAGAGAGACCAGAGAGAGAGACCAGAGAGAGAGAGAGACCAGAGAGAGAGAGAGACCAGAGAGAGAGAGAGACCAGAGAGAGAGAGAGACCAGAGAGAGAGAGAGACCAGAGAGAGAGAGACCAGAGAGAGAGACCAGAGAGAGAGACCAGAAAGAGAGAGACATCAGAGAGAGAGAGACACCAGAGAGAGAGAGACACCAGAGAGAGAGAGACACCAGAGAGAGGGAGAGACCAGAGAGAGGGAGAGACCAGAGAGAGGGAGAGACCAGAGAGAGGGAGCGACCAGAGAGAGGGAGCGACCAGAGAGAGGGAGCGACCAGAGAGAGGGAGCGAGACCAGAGAGAGGGAGCGAGACCAGAGAGAGGGAGAGAGACCAGAGAGAGGGAGAGAGACCAGAGAGAGGGAGAGACCAGAGAGAGGGAGAGACCAGAGAGAGGGAGAGACCAGAGAGAGGGAGAGACCAGAGAGAGGGAGAGACCAGAGAGAGGGAGAGACCAGAGAGAGGGAGAGACCAGAGAGAGGGAGAGACCAGAGAGAGGGAGAGACCAGAGAGAGGGAGAGACCAAGAGGGAGAGACCAAGAGGGAGAGACCAAGAGGGAGGGAGAGACCAGAGATATATATTTCAACAATATGTTGGGTGTTCCAGCTCTAACTAACCACAATGTAATTAGTACAAATTTGGCATTTTAGTTTAGTTTCCGTTTTTTGGAAATGGTTAATTGACCCGTGTTCTTAAAGTGTTATTAGCGGGAATTGTATTTCAAATGTTGGAAAAATGAAACTATAAACAAACGGCGGCCTTCCCATATCCTTGTTCTCCCTCTGGTCTCGGCTGTATTTGACAGTGTATGCACGGCTTTTGACAGCTGCAGCAGCGCTCAGACCTACAACCAACAAGTTTGATATCTCTGCGATCGCACTTCAAGAGCCGCTAGTTCAGGCGTTTAGAAACATTTATAGATAAGTGTGTGTGAGCGGTTTTTATTAATCTAAAAGATACAGCTGGGACTGGGAGGATTTCACTTATTGTGGGTTATTCATAGAACCCACAAAAAAGCAGAGACCAGTGTATACATGTTTGCTTCACCCAACCCTTTTTTTGAGCTCTGTTCTGTAGTAATATTAGGTTTTACAGGTTTTAAAATTAACATCTTGATCTTGTTCTTTCTAGTGCCAATGGAGCCTAGAATCTAGACTTTGGCATTCATCTTCTATACATTGATAACTGATACCTGGAAAACACTCCAGCCTCCAGCCCTAGGGCCAGTAGAAACACACACAATCAAAGTAGCGTAGAGTAGAGTGGGGTGGGGTAGGGTATTGTAGGGTAGGGTAGGGTAGGGTTGGGTAGGGTAGGGTAGGGTAGGCTAGGGTGGGGTAGAGCTGGTGGAAACCGGGTTTAAGCAGGTGTGTCTTGTGTTTATTCATAGCAGCAGACGTGACCAGCCCTAATGCAAAGTATGCATTTGCCTTCTTAATAAGGTCAAACACAAAGGATGATAGAAGAAGTCGACACGTTCTTATCCAGTCATAATACATTCTGTTTGGTAATCTGGCAAATTAAATCTTGGGTCCCAGATTTTCAGACTACAAAAACTATAAATAAAAATCTAAAAACAAGTAATCCTAAACTTGTTCATATGCATGTGTTTTGGCCTTTGTCACATCTTTATATGTTTTTCCGCATGTTGTGGATGGATTTGTTCATTTTTTACCACATATTTTATTGTCTATCTACAAAAGATAAGTTTAAAAATGATCACATTGTTTGTGTTCGCGTCTATCTCTTCTATGTATACTATTTGATACAATGGAGTGAATTTGAAGTGGTACATCCTGAAGTGGTCTGTTATAGTCCTGTTAGAGTAATAGGTCTTTTCATGCAGTGCACTTTTCTGATTCATAATAAAATGTTAAATTGGCGGCAGTCTCTCCTTCTTCAGCTCCACCACGACTCACCAAAAAAATTTGTTGATAATTGCGAACTACAAAAGTTGAGATTCCGGTTGGTTTACATATTCTTATGATTGGGGCAGTTTGTAAGAAATGGATACTGTAAATACACCAGATTGTACCTAATTATTGTTTGATACCTGAACACCCAAAGGAAACTGGAGCAGACTCGGGGAGAACATGCAAACTCCACACAATTCAATGTCTTTGTGTAAAGTCCTAAATCACCGGAGCAGTCGTCTCGGAGGACTTTACAAAGTTTTCGATTCACCAACAGCAGATATGAGAATCAAAGAGTTTGGACGCACCGTATGCAATGATAACAAACACATAGGAGCCAGTGGTCTATAGGGAGCGGGATGACCAATGTCCTGAAAGTTGCATAAATGTCCCCAATCATCACTGTCCTTAGACCCTCCTGCATCTGCAAGGAACCACTCAAATCACCTGTGGGAGAAATATGAGAAATCTCAGGAACGGAGAGGCTGTAGATCCAGGACTGAGGCTGTCGATCCAGGACTGAGGCTGTAGATCCAGGACTGAGGCTGTAGATCCAGGACTGAGGCTGTCGATCCAGGACTGAGGCTGTAGATCCAGGACTGAGGCTGTCGATCCAGGACTGAGGCTGAACCATGACCGCTAACTTTTAGGGCTGGGCGATTAATCGATTTTAATCATTAATTCGAGTTATACGTTTAGGGCGATTTCTTTTTTTAAAAATTCGATTTTTATTTTCTCCAGCGCAGAACTACAGCGCTAACGCGCTAACCGCGGGTCTATGGTGTTGAGCAGTTATTTTGAAGCTAACCTAATGCTAACAGTCTCCCTCTGGCCTGATGCTCGCTCTCACAGTTGGTGCTGTTGCAATAACACTTCAAACGTTCAAGAATCAGACTTTATTTAAATCGCCAGAACACACACACACACGCACGCACGCAGGCTCCGGTCGTTATGTCCGTACGCCACATCTTTCACGCTCTCTCACGCTCGTTATTCCAAAGCGCACTCCCGTGTCCGTGGCGCGCACACACTCGTGTCCCACTGAGCCGCTGCACTTTGGAAAAGACACGTCTCACACATTGCTCTGATACAAACAACGTGTTCCCCGCTGTCTGTTAGCTACAGTAGCTGCTACAGTAGCTGTTAGCTACAGTAGCTGCTACAGTAGCTGTTAGCTACAGTAGCTGCTACAGTAGCTGTTAGCTACAGTAGCTGCTACAGTAGCTGCTACAGTAGCTGTTAGCTACAGCATCAGAATGTAAACAGGAAGCTCGGACAATGCGGGAGTCACTGAAGTTAGTATTAGCGCCACCAGCTGGACCGAGTGTTGTACTACAGCACAGTTACTCAGGCACAGTTGAAAGAACAAGCATGAAAACCCGAGGAGGCTTTTGGAAAAGACTGTCTGTTACAACATTTCTATTTTGAGTAATCAGTTTTAAAAATGTGATATTTCATGTAAATAATGCATGTGTTTAATAGGATTGATATATTTGCGATGGGCCTTGTTTGTGTGATTTAAGTTATTTTGAAGGTGCATAGTGTCATTGTAAGTGAAGTTATTATAAAACTGTTAAGCTACATTTTCACTGTTTACAATGGCAGAGCCATCTCGTTTACAAGCATGTTTTAAGGCTTAATTCCTGTTACACTTATGCTCCATGGGGATTTAGATTGAACTGCATAAAGGAAAATCTATTTCTTTGTCAGTTGTAGTTTGTTTTTAAATAGAAAAAAATAAATCGATTAAAATCGAAAATCGGATTTGGTGTGAAAAAATCGGAGATTTTTTTTTTTTGCCATATCGCCCAGCCCTACTAACTTTCGTTCTTTGGACAATCTGCACTGCTGCTGTTAGAATGTCGTCTTTGAGATCATTGTCGTTGGCATCCAGGATTTGGTTTGGCAACAATCTCACGCAGTAGGAGCTGGAACCTCTTTTACCCGAGCGTTTGTTATTGTCCCGACGTGAGGTCTTGTCCGCTCCATAAATCTATTCATAACCTCAGCCTTGTCCAAGTTCAAGCCGTGAGTCATTCCGAGGCATGATGCTGGACTGGAGCAGGGCTTTCAAAAATACCCATCAAACCGCATTCCTCCGGCAGCCGCACAGACTCTCACAATGAACCCGGCAGTAATGACAGTGTATACGTCCTCGTTTAAAGCTATAGTGGGGGAAAGTTACGAGGAACAGAAGTCACACCTCTTGACACGGATACGGCGAAAACAAAAGACTTCTGTTTGGGTTTGGGATGGAGAGCTCGGGCTGTGTGCTGCCAGAAAGGGTCCCGTTTCAGAAGTTATTGTCTGGAGTTCTGGGTCTCTTTGACAGCGAGGGCATCTGCTTTATTAGTCTGTTGTGGCAAAGACTTGAGTCCTGGATATAAGCCTCAGT